TGAGAGTGAAGAACCCATTATGCCAGAAGAGAAATGTCTACCTAGGATGCCTTCTCCAGTTAATGTCAAAGAGGAAGTGAAGGAACCCCCAGGGACCAATACTGTGATCTTGGAATATGCACACCACCTGTCCCAGGAGATCTTGCGTGATGCCCTGCAGCAATGGGCACGCAATAACATCAAGAACAATGACATTCCATACATTGAGAGTGAGGAGCCTTGAGGCTGTAGGATGACAACTCTTTGACTGTGGAGGTGCTAGTTTGAATACATGCAACAAAAGCAAAACCTGGTGTGCAAAAATACAAATAACTATCTGGATTTCAAAACGTGTCTTTGATAATGTCACTAGTGTTAGAATACCTAGCATGAAATGCATTTGAAGAACTTCAACATTAACAATTTCTGTTTAGTCTTAAATTTTAGTCATCTGAAGGGCTAAACAGAGGTCCTGCTGTATCTCATAGCACTTCTTCCTAAGTAATGGCATCACCAAAGAAAATGCTAAGGAATAAAAACTGCCCCCAATTTTAAATAGTTATTTTAAAAGTTGTCCTTTAAAATAATTTGTTAATTTATACCCAAAAAAAGTCCAGATATGTAAAGGGCTTTTCTAAAATTCCTTGGCAAGGGAATGGCACTCAATTCACAGTGATTAACAGTAAGTCTTGTAGTCAAAATCATGTGTCAAGGATCTCTACTTCTTGACACAAATGAACCCTGTCTTTAATAAATATTTATTTTTGTAGATGAGAAGTGTAACTACCATCTTGGACCTCAGGGCCCTAACTAATTACAGCTGTTACTGGAAAACTCAGACTTTGTGCCTAAAGCCTCTTAATGATAGCAGTTTATAGAAGCCATGACATTAGTGTTTATTGCATTAAGAAGCCAGTGATATAACTATACAAGAAGACTAGCATGAGTACATTTTATAGACAGCAATCCAGTAAATCTTCAAAATAACAGAAGCCTACTCTGCAAGGTAGAAAGTTTCAGTATTGTATATTAAGCTTTACTGTCTTAGAGATGCAAAGGGCTGGAATATGGGCATTTATCCCCAGTATTTTATTAACTAGTGGGGCAGTCGCCATTAAAATTACTGTGAGACCAGGTAGGTAATGCATGAAGATTTACAGTTATATTGCAAAACAGAAAAGATAAAACTGTCCTTTAAGGAGAGTACTCGTTTTCTGGGTTTCTGTTATTTTTTAGTGGTAACACAAGCCTATAGGACATTTATAGCTACCTATTAGGGAAGCTATTTTTCTTTTTCATTTTTACTGTCACAGCACATAAACACACCCCTTTTTGTTTTAAAGGAGTACTTTAAAACAAAAGATCAGTGGTAACAGAAAATTTGGAAAGGGGAAGATGAAATTAAGACAATTTGTTGGAAAATTAGGACAGTTTCTAGGATTATCTTTTCATCAAGATTTGGTACACACTGAGTTGAAATGGAAAGGGAATTATTTAAGCCTGTGTATGTTAGAGCCACAATACACCATTGGTATTAAAAACTAAAGGTTAAAAAAAAAAGTTTATAACTTCTTTAGTAAGATAAATATGTATTTGCCTTGTAAGCAGGCAGAAAATCTACCTCTAATTTTAACACTAATGCTTTAAAACCCACAATCAAATAGAGTGAGTTCTCCAAGTTACATGAGCAAGGAAAACATTATTTGAAACATGCCATATTTCAGTTGCCTTTGGACACATCATCATTCAATTTTAATTTTACCGAGTTCCACGATTTGTACTGTCCCACTGTACTTTCAATCTATAATTTATATAATAGAAAAACAACCAAACCCATTCATACAAGGATCTGAAGTTATAAGGCTAAGGGCAGAAAGTTTCCCATTAGTATAAAACATTTCCAGGTCATGAAGAGTAGTGTAGGTTGACTGACAAAAGCATAGGTGTGGTTGTTTTTCATTCATTTTGTATCTCACACCAAGACACTTTTGCTTCAAGGTCATTTGCTGCTTAAAATGTTCAATTAGGAATATAAAATAAGTACTAATAAGAAAATACAAAGCCACATAAAGCAGCACGTCCCACTGAATTTTTTAGTTATACATAGGGTCAGACACAAATGAGTTTTGCCTGTATCTAAGTATTTTAATTTCAGGTTTCTTATCTGCCCTGGGCCCTATAACAGGGATACCTGCTGGATCCATATCAGCTAGAAGTCAAATCTCTGTTGCTACCCTCTCTCAGCAACTATGGTAGTATAGTTTTATCACCAAGCACCATTTCCTTCTCCCTGATTCACACTTTAATAGAGTATGATATCTTGTGTACAATATTTCCAAAAGACTTATCTTTGAAATATATGCTGTATTATATGTCAACCCATGACATACATGAACTACAAGTCTTGCATAATCAGTGAGCTAGTGGATAAATCAAGATGGGAGAGAAAGAGATGAATAAACAAATGAATAAAAAAGATGACTGAATGAACGAGAGAGATGAACAAACCAATTTACATTACATGTGATAATTATCACGATATAGGTTGGCCTTCATGACAAGACAGATGAGAGTATCATTGATAGGATATTAGCCTTCTTTCAGATCTTTATATTGAAATATTGACTTTACTTCAATTTGAAGGTCTTTTCATGAACAATAAAAGAGAGTAGAAGGACTGTCTGAGAAGCCAGGAGACATATAAAACAGGTAACTGAAAGACTTACTAGCTCCTGGAGTGGGAAACATTTGCAACATCCAGTGTAAGGGCAAATGAGCTTTTACCAGCACAACCAAGAACCTCCAGGTGGCAACTGTGAAAGCAGGTTATCAGAGAAAATAAATGTGCAAATTCCTTATTTACAAAGACTCAACCCCACAAATATGCTTCACTGCTGCCTCCCCCAGTTGTCTCTTATGTACCTTTCAGTTACATGCCTTTGATCCTAAAATTCTCTACTTTCATTGCCTTATCAGTTCTTGCAATCTGCCTGTGGTTCTTAGCACTTAAAGCACAATTTTGAAGGGGACAAAAGTGATTATCTTAGTCCCAAAGAAATAATTTGTCAAACTGCCTTATTAGTATTAAAAACATACACACTGAATGAAGTAGCATGATACTCATTTATCTGACTCAATATCATTGGCCTTTAATGAAATGAGGAAATTATATAGTTTTAAAAATCAAAAGTCAGAAACACTTTATAAGTAATATCAAGGAACAGTAATTTAAAACCAAAGTTCTAAAAAATACATTGTTTGAGTCATCATAATGTCCTCATCCTGCATTTGAAAGACCAAATAGGACATACCTTTCTTGGAGCTGTGGGCATTAGCTCAGAAGCACTACCTGAATCTTAATTTTCTAAACTCAAGTTTTATTAGCAAATCCTCTTCTCTGTAAGACTTAGCTATGAAGTGGTATATTTTTCCAAATATTTTTCTGAAAACATTTGTTGTAACTGCACAATAAAAGTTCAGTTGCAATTAACTAGCTGTGAGTTCTTATTTAACCAAAGAAAATCCTTTCCGACATTGTGTACTTTCAATTTTTTTAACAACATAAAAGACAACATTTTCTGCATTGTTAACAAATATAGAGAATAAAAATCCACTTATACAAATGATTTCTTGGATCATTCAGGTCCAACTTAGGACTTTACAAATATAAATGTAAATGTATCTAATATCATGGCATTTTTTTTTTTTTTTTTTTGAAACGGAGTCTCACTCTATCACCCAGGCTGGAGTGGAATGGTACAATCTCGGCTCACTGCAACCTCCACCTCCCGGGTTCAAACAATTGTCCTGCTACAGCCTCCTGAGTTGCTGGGATTACAGGCACCCACCATCACACCCAGCTAATTTTTGTATTTTTAGTAGAGACAAGGGTTCACCATGTTGGCCAGGCTGGTCTCAAACTCCTAACCTCGTGATCCACCCACTTCGGCCTCCTAAAGTGCTGGGATTATAGGCGTGAGCCACCATGTCTGGCCTATCATGGCATCTACATTCCAGATTTGTTATGTAATTATTTGAAAGAAAAATGCTTCAGGTAAAGCAGATTAAGAACTGAGAAAACATAAAGCAGTACCTTCTGGGCTGCCATTTCTTCATCTATGAGAAGGTGCAGGACATGATCTTTAATGTCTTTTTCAGTTCTCCTGGCTCTTTCTTCTCATAAACCTGAAGTTCTCCTAGTTTCTAAAGAGTATGGGATGAAGGAGAAACTGAAACAAGTTACAAAATAAGTTATAAACTTACCTTTAGTTTAAAAATTACTCTTGTCTAGAACTTTAAGGTTCTGAATCTGGAATACCTCAAAAAGTACTTACTAACAATATCAATTATTGAATATATCTTTTGAACAAAAGTCGTCTTGCTTTCCATTTTTTTCCTCCTGATTTGAACCTTGTTTATAAGGATAATTATCACACAAAGTCTTAGGTAAATTATAAAAAAGAGTGTCTCTAAGAGATTGTAGTTTCCTAATTTCTCATTCTACTGGATTAACGAATACTGTGAATAACAAGAAAATAATGCTTTCACTTTCACCATGGGATGGTACTGATTATTTTAGGGAAGACCAAGGCTGAGTAATACTGAAGAGAGAACTTCATAAAAACCTTTTCTCTTTGCCCAAGATTTCTAATGTTTATAAAAGGAGCTCATCTGCTACAGTAACTGTTACTTTAAAACACACTCATATATGAAGAAAATTCTGAGGTATTAACACAGTATCCAAAACAATTTTCAGGGTCTTTTTTATATTCTATACCTAAGTTGATTTAACCAACATATAAGCCACTACCAAAAGCCAAATAAAGATCCCATTTCAATTAGATATACTACTCAAGAAAGTATCTAAAAACCTTCATTTTTCCATCTTCTAAAGCAGGGATTGACAAACTTTTTCTGACAAAATCCAGACAGTAAATAATTAGGCTTTGTAGGCCTTACCATCTCTATTGCAACTACTCATTTCAAAGAAGCCACAGAAAATATATAAACAGATGAGTATAGCTAGTTCCAATAAAGCTTTATTTGTGAACTGTGATATTTCATGTAATTTTCACATGTCATGAAACATTAGTCTTTGATTTATTTTCCCAACCATTTAAAAATGCGGAAACCATTCTCAGCTTGCAGGGGATATAAAAACAGGCAGCAGGCTGGATTTGGCCCATGTGCTGGAGATTGCCAATCCATGCTACAAAATATTCCTTAAAAGCCTGTCCCCTCAAAATTTCAAATCATTGCTTCCCAAAGACTTAAAGTGATTATTCAAATATTCATCGGTAACTTCTTTTAGATCAGCTGGTTTCCATTTTGGACTCCGGTCTTTATCAATTAAAACTGTCAAGAGAAGATACAAATGTTAGTGCCTTTTTTTCTGGTAGTACCAGATTTTAATTACTGAATTAACAGTAACTGTCTTATGCTAGGCACATCTTTCTATAACACATTTTTCCCTCCAAGTTTTTACATGTGCTCTATTTTTCTAATTAAACCCCCAGGGATGGATAGCAATATACTTTTGATGATTGGTGTGGATATTTTCTAACTTCCTAAGCTGCATGTCTCTAGCTTTAATAAAGCCTACCCAATCCAGTGGTTTAAACGTTAGAATTCTTTTTTCTTCTTGAAATAAAATTGCAAATGAAACCACCATATTACAAAACAGCTAAAATCAGTGTTTAATTTAGAGCAAAGGCAGGAGAGGGCAGAGGGGCCAGATGTGCCTTCTAACCTCCTCCACATTGAATTTTGGGAGAAAATTAATTGCATAAGGTAGAGAAAAGGGGACTTCATGCATAATTAAATGTGTAACTGTTGTTCTGCTGAATCCTCCAGTTGGACAGCTCTGAATTTTTAAAAAATCAGGTTATCATGAAACCGAGTCCTCCTATTTCAGTGTAGTCATCACTATAGCCACATAGTATCCCCATAGGATTATGAGGCAATCTGTAACTTCTCCTAAAGAAGGGGAGAAGAATATCCAGTATACTGTAGTTATACAGATGGTATCATTTAGGAGACTGGGTGGAAGGTATGCAAGATCTCTGTATTATTTCTTACAACCTCATGTGAATCTACAATGATCTCAATATTTTTTTAAAGTAATAGTTGTGGCAGCAAATTTCAACCATGCTTAAAATGCACATAATTCTTGTGAAGAATGGAAATATTTAAATTTGGAAACTACAGTGAACTAGAAGAACCGAATTTAGCATTTAAAGACTAAAACAGTTAAAGCAGCAGTATGGAAACCAAGGACCAATGCTGCCTTGGTTGGTAGGGGGAAGGAAGCTTTTACATACAACAAAATGCAGATACCAGAGGTTTTGTTTTTAAGATTTAACTCTCCACTATGAGATTCCTGTATCAAATCAGTGGCAATATTAAACACTGATGTTCTGATCCCTACTATGTGAAAGTTTTATATTCAATGGACAGTGTAAACCAAGAATAACCATGGCACATTCTCTCTACAAGAATCTCTTCTGTAAGTTTTCCGGTCAATACTATCTCCTTGAGATCCCACTGAAGGACAAGAGGAAAGAGAATGTTAAACAAATTTGTTATTTTATTTCAAGCTAACATTTTTTTTTTTTTTACTATAATAGATACAACATAAGTGCTTGCCATGTAGGCAGCTCAGGTTTTTCAAGTCTCCTGAGACAACTACTACACGGAATTTGAGTGGGTATACAGCTCTACTAAGACAGTCTTTTTTTTTTCTTCTATAACCAGAAAGTAGTAATTTGTTCTAGATGTTAACAATTTTTAACAACTGTTAAATTTGCTATCTTACTTTAATTTGCTAATATGTTTTTATTATTAGCAAAATGCAGCAAACATTTGATTACACAAGAACACTACAGTTTTACTCAGAACAGATACTGCTTTCTGAATAAATAGTCTATACTGAAAGAGGCGGCCATATACTTTCTCTTCACTAAAACGTAGCCAGATAAGTAAGCACTTCCTTCATGAATAATAACTGCTTGGTTTCAACATTTTTTCCTCAAAATAACAGTATTTATCTAAAAACAATATCGTTTGTTTTAAGGAAGGCCTGTTACAACATATAATGAATACGTTAGCAATATAACCTAAGTAGCATACAGGTCCTCTAAAATCAGAGGTCTGGGCTGTAATCCATATGCAGCAAGAATTTGCAGAGGAATTCGTGAGGAAAATGCCTATTTTACTTAGTTTCTACAAGACACACAGCCATCTCCCCTGATCAACTCCATGTGCTGATTCCTAAAAATATTTTAATCAACTTCTTATTTTTGATATTGTGTCATGTCAGAAACGAAGAGAACTCTATAAGAGTGACCGGTGTTTATCAAAGCTTAAGAGCTCAGAGAGCATAATAACCTTTTATTCAGATAAAAAAGTATATCCAAGCTGGGCACAGTGGCTCACGTCTGTAATCACAGCACTTTGGGAGTCTGAGGAAGGTGGATCACAGGAGATTAGGAGTTTGAGACCAGCCTGGCCAACATGGTGAAACGCTGTTTCTACTAAAAATAGAAAAATTAGGCAGGCCTGGTGGCATGTGCCTGTAATCCCACCTACTCAGGAGGCTGAGGCAGGAAACTCACTTGAACCTGAGAGGTGGAGGTTGCAGTGGGCCAAGATTGCACCACTGCACTCCACCCTGTCTCAAAAAACAAAAAAAGTGTATCCAGAGTCTGCACTACAGTAAAATAATTAATAAAAATAGGAACATTAGATATGCAAATACATGCAGAGGGAATAACTCATTTTATACAACATAAATAACAGCTTTTTATAGGGATAAGAGTTACACATAAAAACGAATTGTTCCAAGTTTGCTAGAAAAAAAAGTCAAGTATTTCACTTGCTTTTTCTAAATACGTTGGCACTGGAGATTATAAGCAAAAATAGAACATATTAATAAGAAAATCTGCAGCTGTTACTAATGATGTCATATGGTCTTTTTCCCCAGCAATGTTTAACTGCTCAGGTACAGGCAAGAAGGTGGAAAGCAGGGTTAGATCACTGGTCAATTTTGCCAGGCCAGTACAAAAGCAGGAGAAAGGCAGGGGACTTGAGGGCTTTTTGTAAGGGAATAAATGCATATTTTAAAGGCAACAGCAGCAGGATGAGTTTACAAATTCAGTGCTGCACTTACCAGAGGTAGTACATGAGTATAGGGGCAGGATTACCTTATATATAAATTAGAGAGCAGTGGCCAAGTTATGTCCATTTTTAAGACACTATCAGTTTCAAGACTGATCTTCCTTTTCATATCCCAGATGGTAACATTTTTTAAAAAATATACACAATTTTACAATCTTTATAAAAGTTTAATTTTCACTACTAAAACAACTATGGGTTGAGTATTCTGTATCTGAAATGCTTGGGATCATAAGTGTTTCAGGTTTGAGATTTTTTTTTTTTTCAGATTTTGGAATATTTGCATTATACTTACAATCCAATGAACAATTCCTCTGAGTGTCATGTTGGTGCTCAAAAAGTTTCAGATTTTGGTACATTTTGGATTTTAGGATTTGGGGTACAGAATCTGTATCTTCTTTAATTAACAGCATATGCTCACAAATCCCATTTCCCCAAAATGGTAAGCTCCCATTTGCCACTTACGAGCTCTGATGCCTTCATGAAAGTCATGACCTCTCTGAAAGAAAATTGAGATTAAATTGGGATAATTTTTGGGTGTCATTATTCTGGGTGATCTTCTCTCTCCTCTATTCACTTCAGCCTTCCACTTTCATGGCCACAATCTGAACCATGATGTTTAGAGACTGAACCACGTCTAACACACTCTGATCACTACCTCCTAATCTTATTTGCTCCAGTATCTCCACTGCTACAAATCCTTGATCTTACTGAGGTCCCCTGATCCAATGACTTTCTCCCTATCTGCGCTGGCTTCACTTTGCTCTTCATGCAGCCCAATTTTAGCAGTCCTTTCAAATGATCACTTTCCTTTCAAAATGCTGTCATCTCCCTCACATCTTTTTCTCTTTTATAGAAACCCAGCAAAATCTTGGCACCAACTAAACCCTACCATGTACCCCTTGCCTGCACTTCAGCAGCTACGTCTTGCTGCAGAAACTTGTACAACTGTGACTGGTTTCATTGAAAATTCATGATCAAAAATCTCAAATGGGCACAGAAAACTGCCGAACAATCCAAGGTCTCTTCCCTACTCCCTAAGATAATGATATAAAGTGTTTTCTGCCTTCTCAACCTCTACCCGTAGCGCGCACTCTTATTAAGTCTCAGCCAATTACTTAACCTCTGACTTCTATAAAAAAACAAGAACCCTTAGATGGGAAATCTTGTCTTCCGAGAGCACTAACACGTCTGCAGGCAACTGCGGCTATCTGCACATACCTCTCCTTTCAATGCCATGGAGGAAAGGACCATCCCCTTTTCAAAGAGCAGTCCTCCCTTGCATTCCAATTCACATCCCCTCTTATCTTCTTAAGGATGGACTTTGCTTGATGTGGACACTCACTTTTCTTTTTCTAGAATCATCAACGTAGGCAATATAATTGAGTGGCTAAATGCATGCAGTTCATTTACGTCTAGGTTCACATCCTGATTCAACTACATATTAACTTTGTGACCTTGGACTAGTAATTTCTCCAACTCCTAATCTCCTTATGTGAAAAGGTAATTTATACATCCATCCTAGGATTATTTTAATCCATATCCAAGCACAGTGTCTGACACTAAGAGTTCAGTAAATGTTAACTACCATTAGTATCTTCAACATAATTTTTTTCTCTATTGGATCATTCCCAATCATTTTTAAACATGTTCTAGTACCTTCCATCTTACAAAATAAAAAAGGAACCTCACTTGATTCCACAGTCTCAGCTTCTATCCTATTTCTCTTTCAAGAATATTTATCTACACATATTCTCTCCACTTCTTCACATCCCATTTTTCCTCTCCAACTAACTGCACTCTAACTTCTGCCCCCACTCCTCTAAAATGGCTTGCCAAAACCACCCATGATGTCAGCAATGCCAACGTCAAATGACGCTTCTAACCTCATCTACACTTTGGCAGTGTTCAACACTGTCCATTACACCTTCCTCCCTCAAACGTTCCTCTCTTTCTTTTGTGACACCACACTCTTCTGGTCCTCCTTCCTCTCCATCTTTTTTTTCCTTCCTACTGCTCTTTCTCTACCACACCTCAAAATGTCAGTGTTCCTTAGGGCTCAGGTCTGGACTCTCATTTTCTTTCTATGTGATCTTATCCATTCAGTGCTCAACATAGCAGCCTGAGTGATCAGTTCTTTAAAGCGTAAGATCATGGCATTCCTCTGCTCATAATCATCTAGTGACTTCCCATTTTACTCAGCCAAAGTCATTATAGAGACCATCAAGGCTTGTATGCTCTGCACAGCCTTTCTCTACACTGTTCCCTCTGGCCTTATGTCCCACTCACTACCACCTCTACCCCCCCATCCCCCTCCACACAGCCTCATGCTCCTGCCTCAGAGCTTTGTTCTTGCAGTTCCCTCTGCCTGGGATGCTCTTCCTCAGATAATTGCATGGCTCACTTCCTCACTTCTTTCAGGAATTCCCTCAAAGAACATTGCGGTGAGGGCTGAACTGGTCACCCTATCTATAATTCATCCCCCTGTTACCCTATATCACATATTCTGCTTCCTTTATTTTTTCTCCTTAATAATCATATAATATATATTTTATGTATGAATCTCATTTATAGTCTATTTCCCCATTATAAAGTAAGTTCCATGAAGGCAGGGATTTTGTCTGTTATCCTACTCTATTCCCCAAGATAATGATTTAAACTGTTTTCTGCCTTTTCAATCTCTACCCCTGGAGCATACCTAGGTACCTGGAACCTATGCACCTGGGTACCTCTAACAGTGCCTACCACATAGTAAGCACTCTTGTTTAGTAAATAATGCATCTCCAAGGTCTTTTTACCTGCTATTGGTGTCTTTCACACTTGAATCTCTGATCCTCTAAGCTCTAACTCCTAAATGCATTCCTTTCCTCACATCCATCAAGTCCTATCAATTCTATCTCCCACATGTGTCTCAAATGCATTTACTTCTCTTCACTGCCACCGCGCTTGTCTAAGCTCTACTATTTCACACCTGCATCAGTACAGGACATTGATATCTGGTCTCTAAACCGTTCTTGAACCCCTCAAACCCTGAGTCCACTTAGCAGCAATAATTTCCTTAAAGCAAACTGAATTGAATCAAATGAAAAATCAAATCACCCCCTGCTTAAGCCCAAGAGACTTCTCAACATACTCCCTTCTCATTCTTCAGGTCACAATGAAGTGACATCACAAAGATGTCTTCCCTAACCTACTTACTTAAAGCAGGTGTCCCATTGCCCCCCAACTCACTCCTGTCCCTGCCTCAATCTCTTCTATCACCAACCCTGTATGTTTTCTTTTAGCATACTTACTACAATTTGTAATTATTTCACTTATTTTGTTTACTCGTTCTTTATGGTCTCAGTAGACTAAACTCCATGAAAATAAAGGACTGTGTCTTCTTATTCAACAACCTAAGCCTAACACTGAGCATAGTGCCTGGCACATAGCTAACATATTTGCTGAGAGAATGAAGGCAGGAATCAATCAATCTAGGCAGTGCACTAGATTGAACTAGGCAGTTCATTGAAAACCATGGAATGTGTGAAGTATACAGGACAGTGGTCAAGAGTGTAGGCACCAGAGTAAGACTGCCTGGTTTCATATGCCATATCTCTGCCACTTAATAGTGGGAAAACCTAAGGCAGGTTACGTCACTATGCCACACAGTACCTATCCTCATAGAGATACCATAAGATTTAACGGAGAGAATGCATATAAAGTGCCTAGCGTAGTACCTGCACATATTAAACAATAGACATCAGCTACCATTTACATCCCACAAGAAGTGACTTTAAGACATGGCTAATAGAGTTATTTCTAACTAGATGAACTACTTTGAACATCTTTTGAACATAACTTTTTTTTTGTGACGGACAGAGTCTCGCTGTCACCAAGATGGAGTACAGTGGTGCAATCTTAGCCCACTGGAACCTCCGCCTCCCAGGTTGGAGCGATTCTCCTGCCTCAGCCTTGTGAGTAGCTGGGACTACAAGCATATGCCACCACACCCAGCTGATTTTTGTATTTTTAGTAGAGACAGGGTTTCACCATGTTGGCCAGGATAGTCTGGATCTCTTGACTTTCTGATCTGCCAGTCTTGGCCTCCCAAAGTGCTGGTATTACAGGCATATGCCACCACACCAGACCGAACATCTTAATAACGATTACATTAAAGTCATTAGGAATGTCTGCTTTCCGGCTATTAAGCCAAATATTCCCTTTACTCCATATATTAGTCTAAATAATAAGATGCCTCTTAAGGGCCCTCTGAACATAAAGAATGATTCTGCCTTAAAAGAGTTTGTCATCTGAAAGAATAAATATAAATATGAAATGTTTCATGAAATCAATATTCCATATGATTGTTGTCAACTTTATGTTTACAATGGTACTTTTGTAATGCCCATTATTTAAAACATGTAACAGACTAATAACCTCCATTTGTGCATTTACTTTATATATACATGCTTATAAATAATCCCCTTAATTTTACCAATGAGGGAATTCACATTTACAGAGTTTACATGTCTTGCCCAAGGCCACAGAGACCATCTCTGAAAGACATGAATTTCTATTTTAAATTTTTCTGAGGTTAGCGAGCTTCTTACACTAACATGCAAATGTAATTCCTATTTTGTAAAGGCTTAATAACAATCTGGATAGCAGTACTTCCATACCTCTAAAGCTAACTGGCCTGCTGCGTGTTTGTAGAGCAAATTTACATGTGAATTTAGTTTTCTTGTTTGCACTTGGTATATTTTACAAGTTCTACCATAAACGTATGTTACTTTCAGAACTAAAAAAATGACAACAATTTTTTAATTTAATTCTTACCATACAAGCTTGACTCAGCCGATACTCCATAGTTAGTACTTCTTGCAAGGTCTTTGAAGACCCCTCCATGAGTTGCCTTAGTGTGATTTTTAGAGATGTTGGAGACATTTTATTAATTACCTTTTGGGGGAAAAAAATTTACTACGGTTAGTCCAATAGCTCCTTTATTGTCCATATAACAAATGAGCTGAGTGTCTATGTAAATCGTATTAAAATATGCCAAAATCTCATAAAAGATTATACCCTAGCTTAATTCTGCCAAAGCCCTGAACAAAGTTTTCTAATCTACTACAAAAACAAAACATCATTCTCCATATGGAATAAATTCTGTACCTGTGACTAAAGTAATAAATCCATATTTGTAGTTTGCCTAGCATAAATTATCCCAACTAGCTAACAGCAATTATACTTAAATAAAATTAATACACACCTTACACACCAATCATATTCATGGAGTGAAGGCAATAACGTATACAGATACAGTGGTCCATTTCCAAGACAAAGTGCCTTGAATTGGCTTAGGTCAGTAAACTACAGAAGAAACAGGATATACTAGGCCCCTGCTTGGACAGCCAATGCCTGCTTATTGGTTCCCCCTTCCTCCCTCTTCACCCCACTTAGTTGCGCTCACCCGAACCAAAGAAGTTTAGTCTAAGATAATAGTTTATTAGTCTGCAATATAGCTCACTTTGTCTGTTCTTATCAGCCTGCCCAGCTACTTAAGAGATAAGTCAAATAACTGAAAAGCCACTGAGCCAACTAGGATTGCAATGCCATTGTGGGCTGCAACAAAATCCAGCAAGACAATCCTAAAAGAAACACCTATAGCCCTGCCTAACAATCAATAGGTGACGTCCGGGAAGATCGTAACCCCATAGTACTCAGCCTATAAGGAACCAGGGGGGGCCTGCGCACTAAGGGATAAACTGTGGTGGGGCCAGGCGTAGTGGCTCATGCCTGTGATCCCAGCACTTTGTGAGGCCAAGGCAGGTCGATCACCTGAGGTCAGGAGTTGAGGACCAGCCGGACCAACATGGAGAAACCCCATCTCTACTAAACATACAAAATTAGCCAGGTGTGGTGGTACATGCCTGTAATCACAGCTACTCAGGAGGGTGAGGCAGGAGAATCGCTTGAACCTGGGAGGCAAAGGTTGTGGTAAGCTGAGATCACGCCATTGCACTCCAGCCCAGGCAACAAGAATGAAACTCTGTCTCAAAAACAAACAACCTACTGTGCTGGGTGTGCCTAAACACCAAACACCCGATCTTACAAGACCATCATTAAAAATCTCACTTTTGCTATTATTCAGGTCTCATGAGTCTATTCTGTGGGTTTGGACAGGTGAGCTGTTTCTCACAACTTGGTGGCCTGTATGCGGATCTCTGTGCCTGCATGGAGTGAGACTCCAGCAGAGAAGGGAGACGCATCCCACTTGACTTATGTGGCCTGCTCTGTCTGGATGTTTTGAGACTCCATGCGGAAGCCACAGACAAACCCAAGATTGTTATTCAGGAGGCAGTAGAGGGGACACAGGGAGAAAAGCAGGCACCATGGCAACCAGGCAACATCATGCACGAGCCAAAGTAGGAAAACTGGTCTGTAAGTACTGCCTTGGTGGTTGGGCCTTTTCAGCGGTCTCAGGGTGTGCAAGAAACCTCCAGTAAGGAGAGCTGAGTACACAGGGAAAACCTCAGGTGCAGAGACTAACCAAAGATGGGAAACAGGAATTCTAGGCCTAGGGAACAAAGAAAAGAGGCAACTAAAAAGATACCCTCTGACATTCTCCCAGGTATTTTGAAGGGATAATCCTCAAACCAGGAAAAAGGAAAAGCAAAAGATGATAAAGTATTGTTTTACCTGGCCCAAAAAGCCCATTTGTCAGCCTTCAGACTTTTGGCCTAAGTTTGGCTCAGATAAGGATTGGGTGTGCCAAGCTTTAACTCTCTACATGAATGATAAAACCCCATCCTCACAAGAGGACACGGATTATGTTCTTTGTTGTATTAGTAAATTAACCCCATGTTAACACAGGAAAGAGCCCTTGCCCAGTGAAAAGCCCTGAGATCCCCTAATACACTCCCCTCTGCCACATCTCACAAAGTAGAGGACAGGGAGATCAGGAGGCAATGGGAAGGTCGGAGGAAGAGGAATCTGGGGGTCATGAAGAACCTAAGCCCAATGCTCCCTTAATTCCTTATCCAAACTTGAGGAAAGAATTAGAGCAAAGTAAAAAGGACATTAAAAATTTCCCTATTTCTTCTAAACAGCAGGAGTCTAATATGTACTCTCTTAGAGAAGTCTTTATGGGACAGGGAGGAGTTGGGTTCGTGAGTGCACCTCTAACAAGCACTGAGGTTAGGAATTTTAAAAAGGAAATGAGGCCACTCTTGGAAGATCTCCTTGGTTTAGCAGAGTAGCTAGATCAATTTTCAGGACCCAATTTTTATGCTTAAGCTAAGATGATGTCAATCGTGAACATTCTGTTTACTGGGGAAGAGAGGAGAATAATTTGAAGGGCAGCCATAACCATTTGGGAAAGACAGCATCCTCCCAGGCAAGAAGTCCTCCCAACTGAGCAGAAATTCCCAAATGCAAATCCCAGTTGGGATAACAATAATCACAGAGATCGGGCCCAAATGCAGAACCTAAGGAAACTAATCATTAAAGTGATTAAAAAGTCCACTCCGAGGACACAAAATGTCTCAAAGGCATTTGAGATTCAACAGCAGCAGCAGCAGCAGCAGCAGTAGCAGCAAAAGAGACTCCCTCTGTGTTCCTGCAGAGGCTCAGGGATCAAATGAGAAAATATTCAGCATTAAATCCAGAGGACCCAGTAGGGAATGGCCTTTTAAAGATTAATTTTGTGACTAAAAGCTGGCCTGATATTACTAAGAAACTGCAAAAGATTAGTGGATGGAATGAAAAACCAATTAAGGAATCACTAAGGGAAGCTCAGAAGGTTTTTGTAAGAAGAAAGGGATAAAGAGAAAAAGAAAGGAGATTGGAAAGAGAAAGGGGAGGAAATGGCAAACTTAGAGGGCCAGAGAAAGAGTTAAGCTGCTGACCCTGAAGGCAAGGGAAAGCCTAGTGCACAGCTATGTGTGTGGGAGCTGCTGGACTAAGCAGCTGAGACAGGGCAGGCAGTGTAAGACACTGTGCAGGCATGGTGGTGCCCAGAGAAAGAGTCGGAGCTGTCTGTCAGACGTGGGGGAGCCAGGGTACAGCACAGCTCAGCTCATGCAGAGAGAAAGAGGAAGAAACTGAGTGTGAGGGAAAAAGGAAATAGGGGATGTCAGATAGAGAGAGATAGAAGAAGATTATGAGTGAGAGAGACTGGAAAAGACAAAGATCAAAGAGAGATACAAAAGATAAGACTGGGGAGAGATATACTGTAAAAGAAGAAAGAATAGAAGAGGAGGCCAGGCACCATGGCTCACACCTGTAATCCCAGTTCTTTGGGAGGCCAAGGTGGGCGAATCATGAGGTCAGGAGTTCGAGACCAATCTGGCCAACGTAGTGAAACCCCGTCTCTACTAAAAATGTAAAAAAAAATTAGCCAGGTGTGGCAGTGTGCACCCAAAATCTCAGTTACTCAGGAGGCTGAGGCAGAAGAATTGCGTGTATCCCAGAGGCGGAGGTTGCAGTGGGCTGAGATCACGTCATTGCACTCTAGCCTGGGCAATAGTGTGACTCCGTCTCAAAAAAAAAAAAAAAAGTACAAGAGGAAATAAGAGGATGTGGAGAGGTTGCCAGGGCTCGGGGAAGGTTCTAGAGGCTCAAGAAACAAGGAGGTGCAGAAAAAGGGTACAGTGTGGACACTGAGAAGGGAAAGAGCCCAAGGTGATGCAAGTGAGAAAGGGATATGGAAGAGAGTCTAGGAGCAGGAGCGGACTATCTGGCTGTTTGTCAGAAGGCAGTAGAAAGGATTCAGGTTATGGAAGGGTAAATGGATGACATGATCATTAAGGTTTTGTTGTTGTTTAACTGAGAGGCTATAAGTCCACCAGGGTCAGCTGTCAGTAAGGCTTCAGAAGGGTTGGGGAGCTACATAAGGAAGATCAGAACTAGGGTTGTAAACTCAAATAACTACAGGGCCAGCAAATGATGAGAAGGAGGGCTGCAGGGCTGGGTGGGGACTGTAGCTAACTGAGGAAGGTGCACTCTGTTAAAGGGGCTACAGCTGCTCAGCAGTTTTTACAGGGCCAACCCTGTTCTGCCAAATTGTCTGCTTTGTCAGAGGCCAGAATTCTAATTTTTTATGCAAAACGGGATTTTTAAGTGCTGGTAATCAGTTGAAAAAACTTAAAAACTCAATACAAACAAAAGAGGATGCCAGTTTACAATCCCTGAGATAGAGCTGGTGCTGGGGAGAAGTCTGCCAAGATGCTTTAAAGTGGCATGCATAAAAGTTCTGTTTCCCAGAGCGTTGCTGGGCTGGGGAAGGATCCTTGCAGCAGAGGAGGAGGAAAAGTCACTAAGTCCCCTCCCAGAGTGAAGCAAAACAAAGACCATTTGTCCAGGAATACAAATGGTGGAGCTCCTGGCCTGCCAAGGAGAGGAATGGTGTCTTCAAAGCTAAGAAAGAGGAAGTGAGGACAGAGCCAGGGATGCCTGTGCTAATGAAAGTGCCCCTCAGGAAAGACACCACAGGCTGGCAGCTCTTCAAACCAGCAGCTCTTGGCCCAGTGCCAGACCCAGCAGGGCCTGGCCAAAGGCTCCCTGTGAGGCCAGCTGGGCAGTCCCTTGCTTCCCCAAGTTCCTCCTGGGGTCAGTGGGCTCTGGGGAAGTGCCCAACCTAACTCCAGCTAGTTTCTTATGGTAAGGAGAGGAAAGTAAGAAGGCATCAGACTGTAACTGTTTAGATATCATAGAATATCAAACTAAAGTTGAATCAGACCTTAAAAAAACTCCATAATGGAATATGGCTGTTTGTGCATGTTATCATCTCAAGTAACAGATGGCAAAAGACTTGTGTAATAGATGGCTATGCTGTCACTGATGGAAACAAACAATCCTTATGTAAAAAAGGTAGATTACCCAATAATTGTTAAGTCCAACCCTGTGAATTATATGCTCTTAACCAGGCCCTAAGGCTCCTAGAAGGCCAAGAAGGCACT